TTCATTAGTCTAGACATTTATTTCGGGCATCTGTTAGCCCGAAGATCGACTATGTATTGTAGTTTCTATTTCTTTTTCGTTTTTCGGTTCCTTTTGGTTTTTGTTTTTGATTTTGATTTTTGAGACGATGTAGACTATTGTATCTTGATCGTTGATATTCTGGGCCCCGACTTTGGGGTCCTGATCTATGCACAGGTTGGGGATCCAGCCCAATCCCCCGCCCTTCCGGGGCGTTGTTTGTTTAAAAAAAAAAAAGAAAAAAAAAAACTAGCAACAACAGACAACTAACCTAGCAACAACAGACAACTAACCTAGCAACAAACACAACTAACCTAGCAGCTAAAGATAACTAACCTAGCAACAAAAGACAGCTAACTTAGCAGCAAGAAAGAAATAACCTAGCAACCAAAAGACAACTAACCTAGCAACTACAGACAACTAACTAGCAACATTAGAAAAATAACTTAACAACTACTAACCTAACAATTGCAGAGAACTAACCTAGCAACTAGAGAGAACTAACCTAGCAACTACTAACCTAGCAACTACAAAGAATTAACCTAGCAACTAGAGAGAACTAATCTAGCAACTACAGAGACTTACCTAGCAACTATAGAGAACTAACCTAGTTGGAAGGTTAGTTGTCAACGGTCAACGCCGGAGCCAACGATCAACGTCGAAAGTCAACGGATGTCGCCGAAAGTCAACGGTCAACGCCGGAGTCAACGGGTCAAAATAATATTTAAATAATTAAAATAATAAAAAGAAAAGAGTAAATCTTGGCCACACATGATATGTACCAAATCTTGTGACTAAAAATGAGTCTTACGTCCTCACTTTAAATAAGTGGATGAATCAGAACCATTCCCTATATATATATATATATATATATTTATATATAGGATATGGTTCAAATGAGAACTAAGTCCTAGCGTGAGAACCGTGAGAACCGCTATATTTTTAATTGTATATAGTGCTATGATTGATTGTATTTTAGTGCTATTTTCAATCAGGATATATTTTATTAAAAATAGCAACACAATTTATGTTAGCATTTGTAAAAATGATAGCACCATGTGAGATTAAAAATAACATCATACACAATTAAAAATAGCACCAAATATGGTTCTCACGGTTCTCACACCAGGACTAGTTTTTATTTGAACCAACCCCTATATATATATATATATACATATATATATACATATACATATATATTTATGTATATATTGTTTTTGTTAGAGATAATAAAGGTTACGCATAAATTTTATAAAAAGATATATGCGTCGTGTATCTGTCTAATCGTTAATTTGCCTCATGGCATAATTTGTGAATTCTATAATCAAGAGGGTTTTTTAAAGATAAATTATCGGGATAAGCTCGGAGAGATTTTAAATTATTTGTACATAGCTAAAATCATATCAAATCGTTTAAAATACTCTAGTTATCGAAAACTAAACTCCCGGATTATAATATATTGTGTTAGGTAGAGCCTTCTTGATGAAAAATGAATAATAATGTAAGAACAGCGAGTAAAATATACTATGAATTAATTGAAAGTGTGTCATGAGTCACGAGTGGTTTTATATAATTAATGGAATAGGTTTTTTTTTTCATTTTTTTTATTTTTTTTTTGTGTGTGTGTTTTGTTTTGTATCTTTTGTAATATGGATTAGGTGGATTGTTAAGTATGCATCAACATATAAATGATTTAATATTCTATAACTTCATTGAATATTTTTATTCTTAGTTATTATTTAGATTATTATTACTTATTAATTATTATACTTTCATGGCCAACCAAACCAAGATACTCTTTCGGTTAGTGATATCATAAGCCGCCGACAAGCAGTTGATGTTGATTAATTAGGTTTTAAAAAAAGTTCAAATTGTTTGAGCTTATATAATCACATTCTTAATTGGGTGTGTATTTTAATGTATAGCAATTTTAGGTTGAAAGTATGTATATATGTTAGAAAAAAATTTATAGTTATGTAGGGGTAAAGCTACTGTGTGGGGCAAGTTTCTTTAATTAGAATAAATAGTTATTAATAATAAATGATATATTTTCAATAAATTCGAGAATAATTACAACCAAGGCTAACTAGCCTAAGAAACAGTTAAATCTGAATCAAAAGAGGTCCCCTCTAAATCATAAAGAAACAGTAAAGTCTTCTGAAGGTTGAAGTGTACAGAGGTTAGGTAAAGCATGTTTATTGGATTAGATGTCAATTGTCATCAGTGATAGACCATTGTCCTAAACCAAAATCAATAAAGTTAAATAAGAAAGAGGAAACAAATAAAAAAGACAGACTAATTTGCTGGTGGGCCATTAAGGCCACCATAGTTCTTGCTGGCAAAGTACAATATTATACACTGAAAAATCAATTTTTTAAGTAACTTCTGCAATAGTGAATGTTCAAAGTTGATAAAGATTTGAGATCCCATATTGTCTGACTGGAAATTCATTCACAAAGTTGTGATTCATTTTGAGGAAAAGGTGTTTATTATTAGCATTTTTAATAATTAAAAAAATCATAAATTTTTGTATGAGTCAATCTAATCATAAGTGTGTTGAGCCGTCATATTTTATTTGTAAATAATAATTATGGTATAATAATATTGCACTTTTATTTATGTAATTTTGTAGAATGCATTTCAATTTGAAATTAATTATATATGTTAAAAAAGTATAACTGTCTAACCATTAGATTGACCTAATATTTGTCTTATCAGAATAAATGTACCTAGTATTAGCCTTATCGAATAACTATTTGTTTCAGCAATAAACCTAATGTGAACTATATTTTGTTCTACATATGTGCATAATTTCAAACTTAAAATAAGTATGATTTTTTATTAAAAATGTATAATAGGTTGTCTTGATGAATAGTTGAGCTGTCTCACACAGTAATTGTATAGAATTATTATTTAAATTACATAACAAGAAATACATTTATATCCAAAGTTACCCAATGCACCATTATTTTAGTACCAGTACTTACCAAATTACATAGTTTTAAATTGAAAACATTTTGCTTATATTAATTTACTGAAAATTTTATATAAAATTTAATTTTTATAAATTTACATAAAACATATTTATTTAAAATTAGTAAATAACCCACGCACCATTATATTGTCTTTTAAATTAACTAAAAAATTAGATTTTTTTCCTCATATTTTCATTCGAGGGTTCTCATTTTTTTTTCTCTTGCAAGTCGCACCCACTAAAAGAGTGAAATTGTAAAAACACCCCACATCAAAATTTCCCTTGAAAAACACACCTCACCTCTCTCACTCCAACTCCATTTTTGTCTCTATCAACAAAACAAAAGAACCTCAGAGACGGTCCTTCTCTTTCATTCTTCTGTTTCCTGTCGTTTTGGCTACACATCAGTTGATTTGTTAAAAGGGCCCAAAGGGGATAAAAAGGAAAAGAGAAAATAAAGTGGGAAAAAAACAAGAGAAAAAATTGGCCTGTCTCCATATCACTCTGTAAAAACTTTGGTAGACAGAATACACGCATATATACACGCCCTTTATGTGTTTTTTTGAATATTTAACTCAGGCCCATTTTGCACCCATTTTTTTCTTAAATGCCCTTTTCCCCCTGCATAGCAAAAACGAAGCAAAATAAAAATAAAAAAAGAAATATTTTTCTTTGTGTTCTTGCGTTTTGACGATTGTCTGGTGAGTTTTGAGGACGAAAATTTTGGGAAGACGGTTTTTTTGGAGGTGGGCTTTTCAGTTTTCGCATCAAAGGTAAGATTTTGGTATGTATTTGTAAAGAAATCCATTTTCCTCCTTATGTTCTTTTTATTTTGAGAATGGGAGTTATGTTATTGAGATCTGACTCTGTAGGAACTTGCAATTTTCTGTTGTTTATTCAATTTTATGTGTGGTTGTGTTGTTTATTTATTTTTTCCCCCTATGTCTCCCCCTTATGCTGCTTAGTATTTTGTTTCATTTTTCACTTACATTATTCAGTGATTATCCCCAGCTGTGCAAAATTTATAGGTTTCATATAGAGATTTGTGATATTGGATAACTAATATATACTGTGGACAGATGATTTCTGGAATAAGGCAGTCTTGTTCTTATGTACTTTTATGATGAAAGGATTTGCTTATAGTCTGTGTAGAGGGCTATTGTCATGTAAATGTTTTGAGCTTATTTGGGAAAGAAGCCAGTTGCTGAACTAATTGTCTTAATGTTATGGTATGTGATCTGTTGTTACATCCTCCAAAAGTTTTTGCTTTTGAGTTTTGACATATGGCTGTTTGAAAAGAAAGCTCACACAAACAAAAGGGATGCTATTTCTTCTAAAATTTTATCCCGTATTCATGAAAATCAAGCGTAAATTTCATCCTACCCGTGTTGGCACTCGTGGTTTTTAACTGCTGGATGTGTGTGTGTGATCTGATGGTTAAAAACAGTGTGGGCAATAGGATTGGATTTGCCAAAATTGAGATAATATATGTATCAATCTCAAATTTGTTCAATTTTTTCCAACTTCTGAGTTCATCTATTTCTAATTTGAGATTAAAATTATGTACAAAGATTCATCCTTTGCCCCATCTATCTTAAATCTGTTCCTTTTTTTGCTTCACACTTCTTTTGTTGGGAGAAACTTCTCACTGTCAGTTCATTTAGTAGTGATTGAAACTCTTACCAATATTTTCTTCCTCCATATAGGATCTATTGAATTATGCATGCCCTTAATGCGATTG